TAACACCATAAGACCACATTTGCATTTAACCATATATTTCCATATATCAAGAAATATAATTTACACATTTGGTCCCAAACTTTCTACAAAAGTTATGTTACAAAATAGATAACAACTTTTTCCACAAAATCTCTATACAATCCATGTACACATAACTAGTATCTATATACAAAAGAAGATTAAGCTAGCCCCAAAATTTACATGCATGCATAATATTATCACTTCACAATTTTTCATTCCCCTAATCCTTTGGTTGTGCTCGACCTGTAATGCATATTTTTAAAACACAAAATGAGGGTTAGACCTTGAGGACTAGTGAAAAATCTCTTTGATGCAATTATAATGTGAAAAAAATCACCAAATCATATTTATGAAATCATATTCATAATAATAACAAATATACATCATTTGGATATAACAAACCTCGTTTATTGCATCCAATTACCCAATTAACTTAATGAACACATTATGAATAAACTTGTTGCATCATATACATGAATTTAAAATTTTCTCGCATTACATGAATGAGACAACCCCATTTCCTCGCAACACACTAGTGCGAGGACTACAACTCATCGCATCATACTGATGCAGTAAACCCAAGTTGTCGCATCATACTGATGCAGTAAACCCAAGTTGTCGCATCATACAGGTGCGATAAATCAACTTTGTCGCATCCTAAAACTTACTCCTCGCATCATATAGGTGCGATAACCACACTTCATTGCATCAATAAGATGCGATAACCCAAAGTTATCGCATATCACAGATGCGACAACCCCAAGTTATCGCATCATAAGGATGCGATAATTATGAACACTTGATCGAAACCCAATGTGATAACCAGATCCTGGTTATTACCCAAGGTATTTAGATACGTGATTGTCTGATTTAATAATTGTGTGATAGCATGATAAACTGATATGTTTGATACATGCTGGTATGCAAGTTTGTGCATTTAAGTGGATAAATATATATATATATATATATATTTATGTATGCATAAAATATAAATGTGTATATGTATTTATGCATGCAATTATACATGGGTATATATGCATGTGTGTATGCATGGATGCATGTGGGTAGCATGAGGTGGAAAGGGGAGTATGGAAGGCGGTTTGAAYCGACCTTCCATATTTGGGAGGTATAAAAGGGTAGCCTCTCTTTATTTTGATGTTTGCCTGCTATTTTTGAGGAAGTTAAGAGCTTTAAAGTGAGGTGTTGTCCGGTTTACTAAAAGGAGGTGATTTCAAGATTGATTGCAAGTGTCAAAGTTTCAAAAGGATTGATTTCTAGCGTTTTGGATTCAAAAGCTTTATAAGGTGAGTGGTTTCTAAACCTTTTTGCATAATGATTCTACTGGTTTTATTTGTATGTTTGGTATTGTTCATATTGGAAAAATACCAYRAAATTATTGTCTAARTAGTTGTCCGGACAAAGAGTGACCGGATAAGAGTTTAAACCGGACAAGCCTTAGACGGTTTATTGTCCGGATTGTTTTAAACCGGACAAGCCTTGAAAGGTTTATTGTCTGGATTGTTTTAAACCGGACAAGCTTTAAACGATTTAGTGACCAGACTAGTTTAAACCGGAGAAGTCATGAGCGGTTTGTTGTCCGAAGTTGGTAAACCGGTTGAGTGTTGAGCGGTTTATAAATGGTAGTAGTATTTATGATTTTAAACTGAGAAATAGGAATACGACCATGTGGTGAGCGGTTTAGTCTTAAACCGGACGAGTCTTGAATGGACTGTTGTCCGGATTTGTTATCCGTTCAATATGAATATTGTTCTAAGTGTTAAACCGTTCAATGAATGTGTGATGTGTTGACCGGACTTGATATCCGGACAAAGTGGACTTTAGTCCAAGTGTTTTAAACCGGATGATTGTTGACCGGATTTGTTGACCGGATTCGTTGACCGGATGATTGTTGACCGGATTTGTAATGATGTCTTGTGTTTTTGAAAGAAATTACTATTAAAAATGAAGTTTTGATATAAATGTTTTCAAACTGATTACAATTCCAATGACTGCGGTCTATTCGGAATTATTTTATAAATATTTTGAAGAAGTGATAAGGGTGGCATATCAATGAGAGGTGTCCATTTGATATAAGGGTGG